CCTCCAGGAGCTTCCTGGGGCCTCCTAGAGCCTCTTGGGGCATCCTGTGGCCTCTTGGGTCTTTCTGTGGCATCCTGATTCATCCTGGGACCTCATGTGGTCTCCTGGGGTCTCCTGGAACCTGTTGGAGCCTCCTGTGGCATCCCCAGGAAAACCAGCGCCCACGAGTCTGGCCACCGATCGAGACATCCTCAAAATCTGGCCCACCTGGGGGGGTGTAGTGGAGCGCCTCGCTCGAGACATCCTCCAAATCTACTCCGAGAGCGAAGGATGCTGGGACAGAAAACAAGCACACCGCTTGAGACATCCCCACAAAACGGCTGCGAACGGGACCGTGAGAGAACCATTGGCGGCTCCCCTTAGGGCGGTGAAAATGAGCGCACCCCACCAGTCCTCCTGCCAAGGGAACCTGGCTGTGGTTTTCGGCGACGCACCAGCGCCCTTGGCTAACAGCGTTGCAACGCACGCGCTGCATTACGCGGAAGTAGTAAGATGATATGTTTCTGACATGATGCGTGGGCGCGCACGGCGCGGGCCTACATGGCGCGTCGAAGGCGCTTGACACACGCCCGCGATACTATTCACGACCGAAATCGGAAAATTAGCTCCGGCGGCGCACATGCGGTGGGACACGCGTGCGTTCGGCATCACCCGCGCGAGGTGGCTAACAATTTCGCGGCGTTGCGCTAAAAATGCCATTGTGCCCAACATCGTTTCGAAGCGCGCTGCGGTGCGCCGCGCAAGCGCGCGTGGACTGCGGCCTGCATGCGGCCCGCGCACTAGTACGAGCGATTGAACCTGAAAGGGCAAGGCGCGGCACGTGCGCCATGAAAACGCGGCACACGGCAGAAGCAGTTACGAGAAGGAAACTCGCACGATTCGCGTGCCTCCGTCGACCGAAATCGCTAAATCAGGGCAAGCGATCGGCGACGACCGCGTTTGACGCCACCAATAAATACATGAAAAAATGCAAAAACAAATTTGTCGAGGCCCTCGTTTTGTTTCCTGGTGGGCGCAACACCCGGCATTGGCGGCGTGAAACTTGCGGGGCCATGTCCAGTTTGAAAGATAGTCGTTGAGATCTTCGGCGCCGCAGAGTTTGCAAACCGCCTTGTTCTCAGTGAAAGCTTTCACTTCTTTAGCTACGATGCCATTGACGCTATAGATGTGCATCCAATCGAAGCAGAGGGGCGACATGACACCGTAGGCGAGGTTGGCGTCCAAGGCAACGTGCGTCGGATGAAAGTTCCAACCCTTTAGCTGCGTGATCTCCTTCCACTTGTTGTCGCTAATCTCACCGCGGTCGTACCTCTCCCAGTCGGGGCGTAGCCTTTCCAAGATAGCAACGATCTGCGCGTCTGCGTTGACGACGCGTTTGCTTCTGTCGAGGCATGCGTCCGATATAAATGTACCAGACGTGTCGTGCGACGCATCGTCGAACTTCTGGTTGAGCACGTTCCTGCAGATGGCACGCGGTTTGGTGCCCGCGTGCCCTTTGTTCATGTGGAATTCACGGAGGGCTTCTTCGTCGCCCACAGTGCAGCCCAACCTCGCGATTAAAGTCGCGTGCCTTGTGGCATCCCCTGCTTCTGACACGTCCAAGGTAACTCCAGTCGTACGAAAGTTCACCCCGCCAGACGTATTGAACATGAGCTCGTTGCACGTCATTGCAACCGACTGCCCGATCCCTCCAGGCATGTCCCTCACTTTGGAAACCCGAGCGGTGCTGAGCACGAGCCATGCGTCTTCGTCCTGCAAAAACTCATCGAACTCTAGAAACGACCAGTATACAGCATCCACCCCTCGGTGGTCTTTGCCCTTGGCCAACGGGTCACGCGGTGAGATACCGTCGAAATATAAGCAGATGCGCCATGGGGATGCTAGGGAGCACGGGTGCTTGGCGAGCTGGCGGCGCAACAGATCTCTGAACCCCTTACTCCGTTTCGCCGTCGAGTACAAGTACGGACCAGGGGCGCACGCCCAGTTCTTGAAGCTCTTACCGCTGTTCAATGGCATATCAATGCCGACAAGCACGTCACCGTACTGGTTCGATTCGGCACCGATTAATTTCTGCCTTGCGCTGTACTGCGCATAGCGCGAAATGTTACCTGGTATACCATTATCTCGTACGTACTTGAGAATGTATGTAAGACTCCGCTCAGATACATATGGGCCTCTGTGTAACTCAATCAGTGCTTCGGCGTCTGTCTTGCGACGCTTCGGTGGCCCCGCCGACATGGCTTGAGCCAAAACTGCTACTGAGTGATGGTAGCATGAATGCGATATCTGCACTCGCAACAGAGGATTGTGCGACGGGTGCCCCTCGCATACGATGGAACAACGACTTGCATTTTACATTGCACCATGCAGGCGTACATGAACAATGCACACAAGCGCTATAGCACAGCGAAACAAATCGCGAGAAGTCGCGATCGGCGATGAGCAGAGCAGACAAGCGGCTACGAGCGCTCGTCTATGCACTTCATCGCCTTGGTGAAAGCCTCCTGGCGCGTGCTGCCCGTGTCCCAGCGGATGCGCCTGTCGGACCGCCCCAGGACTTCGGCTTCGCCGTGGGCCTCGGCTTCGCCGAGGGCCTCCGCATGACCACCTTCATGGCCTTCTTCGGCGGGGCGCCCTGCATGACCTTCTTCGGCGGGCCCCCCTCCTCGTCGGCGAGTTCGTCGCCATCGTCGTCGGCGCCCTCGACGCCATCGGCATCGCCCCCAGCAGCTGCTGGACGTTTACTCAGGGCCACGGCCTCCTTGCGCTTGCGCATTGTCTTGCGAAGCGCTGCCTCCTCATCAGATAAGTCGCCGGGCGGGGCGGGCATTCCTCCCGCGGCTGGTGGGGCCGCAGGCGGGGGCGCCTCCTGTGGTGAGGGCGCATCTTGCGGTGGCGCTTTGGGCTTCGGCATCATCCCTGGCGGAGGCGACCAGGAGTGTGACGATTGGCCAGGCACCATCCCTGGCGGAGGCACCATTCCTGGATGAGCGTACATATGGTACGCGTTCATCGTCCCGTACATGGATTGGTAGGCGCCGAAGTCGCAAATGGCGGGAGGCGGGGCGGTCGGCGGCGGCGGGGCGGGGCGGTCGTCCCGCACTTGCTTGGCCGCTTGCCTGCCGCCCTTCATCAAGCGACTGCTCAGTCGCACGAAGTCGGGCTCGTCGATGTACCAGTCCTGCCCGCGTGGCGGGTCTCCCTCGGGGTACGCGGTATAGTGCCGCGATTCGCTCTCGAGGGAGTCTGGAGAATCGTGTTCCCATATAGTTCTGTGTTGCCAGTCTCGTGCCTTCATGGTAGCCAGCTTCAGCTTGACCTGCACCAGAATGTCGTACCACATGTCGTTGGTAACGCCAGTGAGTTGGGACGATACCACCGCTGCGAGTTGACCCTTGCTCCCCTCGGACAGAGTGTACATACCGATCGCATGGGCCCTCTTGCACACCATGGCGATCATCGCCTTCTGCGACATGTCGCCGCTCTTTAACTTGGTCGCCTCAGACGCCGAAAGGAAGCGCGAGCATGCAGTTACCTTCTGCCACTTCTTATCTGCGGCGCTGGTCAGCACACCCGTCTTCTGCCCTACCGCCGTGCAGATTTCTGCAATCTGATCAGGGGACCAGTCTGGGAGCGCATTGTCCCGAATTGTGCCCACCAAGAGCGTAGCGTCGTCAGTGCTGATCGTTCCGAAGGATCGCACTCTCGACAACAGCGACTGCATCTGGTTGTCGGCGCATGTCTTTGCGTCGAGTCCGCAGCCGACTTGGGTATGATGCCAATCAATCATATGATTGAGTTCGGCCAGCACATCACGTATCGACGTCATTGCTGCTACGCAGCAGAAAGCGATATGTAAGTTCGCAAAACTGTTTGCGCCAAACTGGTTACGGAGCCCACGACGATGACGCGTGCACGCTTGGCGATGAGGCAAAGGTCAACAGGGGTGCCGAACAAACCAACAGCGCGACGGTTGGTAGTCCTCTCGGGGGGGTGGTAGTCCTCTCGGGGGGCGGGGGGGGGGGTCAGCCATCGTCGTCGCCACGGCTGGGCGCAGCTTGACAAACACTGACTTGGATGGGTCCACCCCCTTGCTCGGCATGCTAATCAGATGTAAGGCATGATTGGCGTGACCACTGATCATTTGACGTGTACCATTGCGAATCTGAACACATCATCGCACTTGCGAAGCCTCGCCCGACACGGCCCCATCAGCGCGGCATGCGCTCTGATTTGATGCTCGCGTGCTGCTCGCACGCGTTCTCCCACTCAGCGTGGGCATCGATGCGATCACCGATCGACACCATCCACTCGCTCTTGGCCTCCTCCATCTTCTTCTTGGCGGCCTCGAACTTCTTGAACTTCTCGAGAACCTGGGAATCGCGCGCTAAAACAAAACACATATATACAGGGCACAGGCATTCAATGCCACCAAATTCAAAGGCAATTGCAATTTCTAGTGCGGCGGCTATTGTCATTGCAATGAGTGTTTAACGTGTTTTCACACACGAGGCCACCTTCTTCGATGCACACAAGAACTCGGCCTTGCATGCTACCTTGGTGATGTTAGCGTTGGTCAGCCTGACTTGTTTGTCCTCCTTCCAGTCCTGGCGAGCCTGGGCATCCATCGCGATCGTCTTGCGGGACTTGCCCATTGCCCCTCCACAACTGAACCGATAACTTGTGCAAAACCTATTGCAACTGAGCCGATAAGCCACACATCCCCCACTCCCCCCTAACAATTGACCCCAGATTTGCAATGGTTGCAACGCTGCCCCGACGAGCTCGATCCAGGCATTGTTTTCTTAGCGCATGGCGCGAAGCGCCCGCCCTCCCCGCGACAGGCACAACTCTTGGGAAACGGTGTTTACACACTCGGACCTAATTGCGTATCCACGCACTCACGCGCCGAAGCCTAAGGCCTTGCGCCCCCGTGCTCTGTACAAGCCCCCTGTGTCGATTACCAGCTTCCTTGCCCGATTGTGCTGCCCATGCAAGTCCACGGCGTGCTCGCACGCTTGCAGCCAAGCGTACTCGGCGTCCTCGGCCTTTTTCTTAGCCTTCTCGTACGCCTTGAAGCACTGCATCACCTCACACCGAACGGGCGGGGCATGTCGGATGGTGGGGGAGGGGGGGGGGGGGGAAATAGGTGTGGCGATAGGCGTCACCACGCCCGCCGTGAGACGCACAACCAGGCGGGATCACGCCGACAACATCAGACACACCCCACAACCTAGCCCAGAACTATCATATCACGCCGCTCTTCTAGTGTACATACACCGCACCAAACAACAATATCATATCTGCATGCATATGCAAGCATGTCCCGACAGCGCGCGGCGCGGCGACAAGGTCGCCTTGCGGTCCATCTGCTTCGCCTTATTGAGGCTGTTGGCCTTGTGCTTGATGGCGGTGTCAAGCTGCTGGTTCCTAAACAGTATATCCTCATGGCGATGCAGGGCTCGGAGTGCTTTGATATCTTCATGCATGCGCGGCATTGTGGCTATAGAGAAGAGAGACGGGCGCGATCTGTGCCAGAACGCTGCGACGATGATCGCATCCGTCGACGATGTGCGATCGCTGTCTGAGCAGCGTGATCTCTACCGCCCCCGTCCTCGTCATCATTGGTATCCTCGTCCTCATCCTCCCCGCCATCCTCCGTATATGTTGGTGCAGAACGGTTATCAGCCCAGCCCACCCACCGTCGACCTCCCCGCCCGAATTGGCGCCAATTGGTGACGGCTCGTCCTCGGCTTACGCTGGTGGTGGATCGTGGCGGAGCGGCCCCGTCGAGGATACGGCGGACCGCATGGTTGCTGATATGAACCAGCAGCTCGAGTCGGCTGATGATCATCGCCGTGTGATCGTCTCCGTGGTTGATCGTGCCCTGAAGCAGCGCGATGACTACATCAAATGGCATGAGCAGATTCAGAGCAACGACGCCACGATCGAAGCTCAGAAGGCCACGATCGAGAGCCAGGCCGCCACTATCGCGAGCCAGGTCGCCACGATCGCGAACATTCGCGAGGGCCAGGACCGCGTCGCGAACCTTCGCGAGGACCATGAGGGTCGCGATTGCGGGGATGATGGGCGGCGGCGAGACGGCGCAGCCGATGCGGATGATAAGGGCAACGGCGGCGACGGCGACGGCGGCGACGGCGACGGCGGCGGCGGCGGCGGCGACGGCGACGACGACGGCGGCGACGGCGGCGGCGGCGACGGCGGCGACGGCGACGACGTCGGCGGCGACGAAGGCGGCGGACGACGACGACGACGGCGGCGGCGACGACCACGATGCAGGACGACGACGACGACGACGGCGACGACGACGACGGCGACAACGGCGACGGCGACGACGTCGGCGGCGACGAAGGCGGCGGACGACGACGACGACTGCGGCGGCGACGACGACGATGCGGGATGGCGACGACGACGACGGCGACGACGACGACGGCGACGACGACGGCGGACGCCGACGACGACGACGGCGAATGCAACGCCTCAGGACACCTCAGGATACCTCAGGACACCTCAGGACACCACTGAGATGACAACACCAGGGCGCCTCAGGACACCTCAGGGCATCTCTGAGCTGACAACCCCAGGAGACCTCAGGACACCTCGGGACACCTCAGGACACCTCAGGACACCTCAGGATGCTGAGGGGGACGAGGAGGAGGATGGAACTGGAGGAGGCGGAGGCGGATGAGGAGGAAGCAGGATGAGGAGGAGGGGGAGGGGGAGGCAAAGGATGAGGAGGAGGAGGAGGAATAGGAGGAGGAAGGGATGAGAGGGAGGAGGGGGGAGGTCGATCGTTTCGCCGTCGATCGTGAGCCTCCGAAAAGTGCGCAGAGAAGCGGAGCGATCACGCTGAGCGGGAGCGACGCGTCGCTCAGCGATCGTCCAAAGGCCTCACGACCGATGCGATGAACACCTCTGAAGGTGGACCGAGAAGCGTCGCAGAGGGTACCACTGTCAGACGACACGCGCGTCGTCTTTGAGATTCTCAAAGACGACACGTTGTCGTCTTTGAGATTCTCAAAGACGACGCGCGTGTCGCTTTTGAGATTCTCAAAGACGACACGTTGGTAATATTAAATCTAATAGAGATTTTGTCGCCTTTGAGATTCTCAAAGATGACACGCGTGTCGTCTTTGAGATTCCCAAAGACGACACGTTGTCGTCTTTGAGATTCTCAAAGACGACACCCGTGTCGTTTGACAGCGGCACCCTCTGCGACGACTCTTAATCCGCATTCGTGGCAGCCCTCAGCTGCTGTGCACCCCCGCAGCTTCGGCGGTAACTCCTGTGCTGAGTCGCCGCCGTGGGAGCCTCGACCCCTTCCGACGGGGCACACCTCGCCGACCACGCGACGACGACGACGACGACAACGCTGACGACGACGACGACGACGACGACGACGACGACGACGACGACCACGACCACGACCACGACACGGTGGTCGCCGACGTGTGCCCCGTGATCACACGGAGCTTGAGCCCGCTGCGCTCGCCGCAGCGTAGTCGGCGACCGCCTTCAGCCACACCTGCGGCTGCGTGCGGCGGCTCCAGGCCGCGTACTTCTGGTCCTGCTCGGACAGGTCACTCAAGCCCTGCAGGTGCTCCCGCGCGACCAGCGCTTTGGCGAGGCGGATGTGCTTGCCCCCGCGGGGGCGGGGGCCGTCGCCCCCGCCCCCGTCCTTGCCGTCGCCCTTCACGTGGCCGCCGTAGCCGTCCTTCTTGTGGCCGCCGTAGCCGTCCTTCTTGTGGCTGTAGTAGCCGTCGCCCTTGTCGTGGCTGTCGTAGCCGTCGCCCTTCTCGTGGCTGTAGTAGCCGTCGCCCTTCACGTGGCCGCTGTAGCCGTCGCCCTTCACGTGGCCGCTGTAGCCGTCGCCTTTGTGGCCGTAGTAGCCGTCGCCCTTGTCGCGGCCACGCCACTCCTGGCCGTTGTAGCCGTCGCCGTTGTGGCCGTAGTAGTCGTCGCCCTTCACGTGGCTGTAGTAGCCGTCGCCCGTCTCGTGGCCATAGTAGCCGTCGCCCTTCTCGTGGCCATAGTAGCCGTCGCCCTTGTGGCCATAGTAGCCGCCACCCTTCTCGTGGCCATAGTCGCCGTCGCCCTTGCGGCCATAGTAGCCGTCGCCCTTCTCACGGCCGTAGTAGCCGTCCTTGGCCCACCAGCCGTCTTTGCCGTAGTAGCCGTTCTTGGTGTGGCCGCCGTAGTAGCCGTCCTTGTTGTGGCCGTAGTAGTAGCCGTCCTTGTTGTAGTAGCTGTCTTTGCCGCCGCGGCTGCAGCCGTCGTTGCCGTCCTTGGTGTAGTAGCTGTCTTTGCCGCCAGCGCCCTCGCTGCTGTCGTCGTAGTCGTAGTAGTGGCGGCTTTTACGGCCACTGCTGTAGTAGCCGTAGCCCTCGGCGTCGCCATCGGCGGTGTAGCTCTCGCCCGCGCTGTCGTCGTAGCCACCGCCCTCAGCGTCGCCACCTTCGTACTCATCCGCCATGGCGCCCTCGTAGTCGCCGTCGCCCTCGTCGACCGCGTCGCCGCCGCCCGCGGCGTCGTCGCCACCACCATCGGGCCCGTCGACCTCGAACTCGAGAAGGTCCTTCATCGAGTTCATCGTCGGGTTCATGGGCGGCGCGAGGTTGAGCTTCTCGAGCAGCGAGTCCGCCACCGAGCCGCGCCACGTCTGCCACGTCTGCGCCGACCAGCACATCGCCTTGCGCTTCTTCTCGGCGGAGGCCATGGCGGCCGCCAAGATGTGCTCTGGCGGAGCCGTCCGCGGCGCGGTCGGCCGCTTCTTGGACGTCGGCTGCAGCCGCGACGGCTTCTCCTCCGCCACCTTCTCCCGTCGCTGCTGGATCTCGCTCGCCGCTGCGAGCAACATTGCCACCTCGGTGGCGTCGTCGCCACCGCCGCTCATCTGCAGGGCCAGGCGGGGTGGGGGCGAGGCCGCGGCGGGCGTCGGGGGCCCCGCGCGGCGGGGGGGGGGGCGAGCACCCTGTGGAGGCGCGGGCCCCGCGCCGTGAACCCACGGCCCGCGCGCCGCGGGCGTGGCTGAACACATGGGCCACAACGGCGTCGGAACGAGAGGGAGAGAGAGAGAGAGAGAGAGAGAGAGAGAGAGAGAGAGAGAGAGAGAGAGAGAGAGACGCGGATCTTTATAGTTCCTCGTGCATCTTATATGCACTCTACACATATACAGACCACACAAAGCTTGCAGTACTGTGCTCACCCGAAAGCCGAAATCCTTAACCTACGAAGCTCTACACTACTGCGCCGTCCGACATCAAACTACGATATTACAACTACCAAACATTATCTCGCCCTAACCGAAGCTAGTCCAACACCCACATCAATAACTCACGGCGTCGCGCGCACATAACAACACAACGGCTGTGGCGAAATAGTTTGCATACGCATAATGTGATTTGTGATGCTGACGCTGGCGTCTCTTACATGATATGTACGTTCGAGTCGGTGTGTATCGGTGGTAATGACAGTGGCAATTGTGCGGCCGACGATGTGGCAGATGCGATTGTCACCATAATGAGAATCACGCACAGTTGCGTCACAAGCAAATGTTGCTGAACGCATGTGCAACGATGATGGTTTTCACACCCATGGCGATGGCTGTACCCCCATAAGCAGCACGCCCAACTACGAGCTCGCATATATGGCATGCGAAGTAAACTGCATGCCCCCCATAGATCACGCACAATGTGCCCCCGACCCCATTCACATTCGAACCCCATACCAATCATTTGCTCCTGGCCCCCCCAAGTCGGCCACCCCCAAGCCCCCCAACCCGCGACGTTGCCACCCCGCGACGTCGCCTCTGCGGAGCATCCGCATCGCCGTGTTGGGTGCAGGGTTCATGGGGATGGGGTCGGGGCGCTCGTACGTAGCGGCTGGCGCTCACACGCGAGCCCCGCGTAGCCCCCCCGAGGACGGATCGGGCCCCGCACATCCCCCCGTGGCGTCGCCCGAGAGCCGCGCTGCGATGGCGCCCGAGACCTCTGGCATAGTCGCCGCGATGCGGCAGCTTCGCGAGGCGGGCGTCGTCGTCTTAAGTTCGTCGTCGTCGATGTCGTCGCCGCCGCCGTCGCCCCTCCACCTGCAGATAGAAGGCTTTGCTTACGCACGTAAATGCTGCACAAGTGTTGCTAGCACGAGTGGACGATGTGGAGGGCGATCTCTTGCTGCGCGGTCAGCAGCACGATCACTTGCTCGCGGAGTTGGGGGAGCAGCAGCGCACGATCGCAGAGCAGCGGCACCAGCAGCAGCAGACGGAGGCAGCGCTACAGCAACAGCAGCAGACGGAGGCAGCGCAGAAGGTCGAGGGGCTGGAGCAGGAGGTGCAGGCCCTCAGGACGAGTTTGCGCTCTATAAGAGGTCGTTCCCAGATGGCTCCTTGTTGAACATTCAGGGGTGAGGGGTGGCGGCGGCACGTCTGCCTGAAGAGCGCATCTAGGATGCGAACGGGCGAGGAGTGGCACGAGGGGGC